AAAAGCCTCTATGCGCTTGGTGATTGAGCTCTTTGAGTTTGACATCTTGAAAAAAGTTGATGTTATTTTATGAAACTAAAAAAAACCTACTCCTTAAACTAAAGCATGGTTGGCCGTTGGCTCCGAGGAGTTCATCCGTGGTTTATGGTCAGTGTACCGCGATCACGAGCCCTATGCTAGGAATTATAGGTTAGGCTAATGTGGGCTGGGATTTTCAACAAGGTCTTGGATGAGGCCTCTATACTATAGTAGGAGGCCTGGTCCTAGTCTAGGCCTATAATATAGTAAAATTGTGTATAAGTAGTCATATGATTACAGGTTTACATTGTACCAAGGTCAATATTAACGATCGCATTTATTTTTCATTGAAAATAAAAAAAAAAAACTTTAAAAAATAATAAATTTAACTTAATGGTTTAAAAAAAATAAAAAAAACTGTACACTTAAAAAAAAAATATGTTAACTTAAAACACAAACAACGCGATAGGATATGAAGTTTGCGAGAATAATTGGTATACTTGTACTGTATTTTCTGAAGCGCGGTAAGGAAATAGATAGTGCTTTTCCTTTATTGGATCGATTGTAACTCCTGATTGTAGCAACCCCAAAACGAATGGCACTTCGGAAATACAGTACAGTATACCAATTATTCTCTGAAACTTTATATCCTATAGCTTTATATCCTATAACTTTATATCCTATTTTCTATTTTATTTTTTATTTTTTAACCGTACAGGTTTGGAATATTTTAAAAATCCTTAAGTTAACTTTATTTAAAGTTTTCTTTTCCCATGTCTTGTGTTGTTGTAAAATTTATTTCAAACCAGTCATGCTTGGTAGGTTTCGATTTACGTTTTGGAACGTTTCGAATTTGAATTACATTTTAAAGAACTTAGAACTACATTTTGGGAAATTTGAACTACGTTTTGAAAAATTAGAACTTCATTTTGGGAAACTATATCTACATTTTGAGAAATTTACGCCTAGGTTTTTTATAAATTAGACATTGAATTTTGCAATTACATTTTGATTTTAACATGGACTTTTGCTGCGTATGGTACCCCATATGAATTATTTGTTTTACACACCTGCGTTGTTGCTAATCTGTTTTCGTGTTGTCGAATCAGAGTCACCCGCATCATTGACAACACTGAAAAAGCAGATATCAGTGACAGTATCTGAATTAAACTCACATGCCTGTACTGAAAAGTGGTTCTTGGATAGTGTGTTAATATTTTTTACTTATCTATCATTTCTGATAGTCCCCATTATGAAGCGTGACCTGCTCTGTCTTTTGAGGCCGCTATCTTGGTCACATACCCTGAAAACCTGGTCGCCTGTGGCAGGGCAATTGTGAAACCTGCTCCTTTTTCGCGCCACCTATGAAGGGGGCCAGGATTGTGCCAGGGCGGAGACGGATGGTCGACCTTCAGAGATTTAGCACAGTCGTATTTGCTACCACAAATTAAAATATCATAAAAACAAAAAAAGAAAAAAAAAACTGAAAGGTACTACGTAAGCTTATAATACTATGAAGTACACGCTTTGTCTATTATTAATATGCCTAGTAATTTGTTGTTCACAACATATTTCTCAAACAAAAATTGTCCTTTCTTTGGCGACATTTAATGTGCGTGGCTTAACTAAACAATTCAAAAGAGAACAGCTAGATGCGGACTGCAACAGATACAATGTAGATGTAATCGCGTTAAAAGAAACTAAATGTAAAAATAACGAAGACATTTAGTTATCATCGGGAAACAGATTAATTATTTTCAAACAAAACAGTATGTGGCAAAGAGGTATCGGCTTTATTGTTCATAAAAAAAATTCGAACAAAATATCAGCAATTGGAAACAAATTACTGACAATATTGCCTACCTTGATGTTAAAATAAAAACTGCCAGTAAAAATATCAACAAATGTCGCATAATAAACTGCTATATTCCAAGAAATTCCGAAAGTGTTAAAAACCCTAATATTACATCAAAATTTTATGAACAACTTAATAATGCTTGTAACATACCACAACGTCACGACTTATTTATACTGGCCGATTTTAATGCCAAAATTAACAAAGATTGCAAGAACGATAGTGGATTTTTCTACAGTAATCTTGGTTCATATGCGTATTGAAAAAAAAACGAATTACAATGGGAATGAATTACTTAGATTTGTTGTTGATAATAGACTTTATATAAGTAACACAGCCTTCAAAACATAGCGAAAAAGGGAAAAAGTCTAAACTCACCATACCAGTTTATAACCAGATTGATTATGTGTGTTATGTCGTATACTCCCAAGACTCAAGAACTTATGCAGGAACTTTGACATACAGTTATCATAAATTAGTTTGTTCAAGATTGTTTATACAAAGAAAGATATAGAACTTTTAAGACCAAAAAAGCAGCTTTTAAAAGCTATAATTGTTCATTAATGGTTATCGACAAAGATTTAAGGAATTCAAAAATCAAAAAAGTCAAAAATCTAAAAAGTAAACTTGAAAATAATCTTGCTGTAAATAACCGTTTGAATGATGCAAATATACGAATAAAACAAGTTACCAAAATAATGCTTAAATGAAGTTGCGTCAGAAACTATAGGTTTTACACAAAATAACAAACAAAAGACTAAGTTTGATGATCAAGTAATCGTGCACCTGTCTGAAATAAGACAAAAGTTATTAAAATATCTAAAAATTCAAACGAATCAAAAAATAGAAGCTCATTACGGAAAGAAATCAATTCTTGTAAAAGACCAATCAGAAAACCCATTAAACAACTTAATAGTATGGAAGCCGATCAACTGGAAAACAGTATTAATACAGATGAAAGTAGGAACATGTTTAAAGCACTAAGAACATTGACAAATGATAAAACCAACAAAAAAATCTATGTGAAAAACGAAGATGGTTCATTTGTGTCATCTGATACAAAAAAGCAGAAATTATTAAAGACTACTTCGAAATTAAATTTAACCCTGAAAGTGTTACTCCCATTAAGCCGTTCATTAGACCACCAAAACGTACCATTAAGTGAACCAATTACAACTGAAGAAGTTGAAAAACCCGCAAATAAATTAAATAATAATCGTGCAATTGTTCCAGATAAAATTCCTTGTGATCTAATTAAATATGGACCAAGCAAACTTCACGAAATTTATGCAGAAATAATTAATAAGTCGTTTGAAAACCATCACTATATTAAATGCATTGGCGAAGCAGTATTAACTCCACTTCAGAAACCTAATAAAGAAAAACGACCGTTAAAAAAACATTAGACCAATAATTTTAACTCTCATATCGCAAAATACTATATTTAGTAGCATTAAATAGAATGGAAGAAAAAATTGATCGCTTTACTGGACCATGACAATGTGCTTACAAGAAAGGAAAAAGCATTTCTGAAGTCGTTTGGTGCCATCGCATGCTATTAAGCGTTATAATAATAAAAAGCGATGGAGCTACTCAAAAATGGGGATTCATTTGTCATCTGCGTTCGATTCAATCGACAGGGAAACAAAACTTCTTTAACAAGCTGGATATACTGAAAGTGAAATTAAACTTATACGATATTTATTATCAAACACTAAACTTAAAATAAAAATTGGAAAATCAGAATCAACAATTTTGATAAGTCTGATCGGGTCCTTCCAAGGAGACAGTTTATCAGGCAAACTGTTCACACTCAATTTTGCAGGAGCAGTGATTGAATTACATTCTGTTTTAAGCTAGCCTCATCCTCCAATCTCTTGCAATCACTTACCTCCCGAAACTATTTATGCTGATGACCTTGATAAAATAAAAGAGTGTAGCATTGAAGAACTTTAAAATACTTTACCAGTAGTTACCGAAGAACTTAAAAAATGGCGTCTTTTCGTTAATGAAGAGAAAACCGATTTTGTTACCTTTCAAATAGACGATGAGAAAAAAAAATGAATGGAAAACTGACAAATTACTTGGCTCAATAATTAACACTGACAAAGACATTGAAAATAGAATTACTCTTGCTATGCATTTGATAAATACCAGAATGCGTGGAAAAACAGTAACATATCTTTAAAACGTAAAATATTAGTTATGATGCACTTGTTGTTTCTATTCTTTTGTGTAATTGTTCAAGTTGGGCAACAATTTGCAAATGTTTTGAAATAATTGACGTATGTCATCGTAAACTCTTTAGGAAAATCTTAAACATATACATTACCAGAAAATCAGCAATATTTCACTATACGAGATCACTAATACTGAACCACTTTCAAATCGTATAAATAGATCCCGATAGAATATGTTATGTCACGTCTTGAGAACCACTGAATTTTAACCGGCCATTCAATCACTTCAGTTTTCACTTACATGTAATGCTCGTAGCCGAGTTGGTTGATATAGATCAAATCTCTTGACACTACTACAAAACGATTTAAGTCAGCATAATCTAAAATTTAAAAAAACTTTAAAAATCTTGAAAACCTTATCTAACTTGCCGCAAACAAGCAATGTTGGACCCTGAGATTTTTCAAGTGATACAATTGAAAGTTATTTATTTATTTATAGTTAGTTTTAATGTATGTGCAACTTATTGAAATTGTTTTTCTTTTTCTCTTGTATCATTGATCAAATATATATTCATATACTTTTTGGAAAACAATAGTTTAATAATAATAATAATAATAATAATAATACTCTTGCCCATAATTCTAATGTTTCAACAGGAATCCTCCTATTGTTTATTGTTAATCCCAACACTTCTTAATACCTTTTTATTTTTTGAGAACACGAGACATGACGACCATATAAAGTTCGTCCGCGAACCAAACTTGGGTCATGACCCATGGATTACTGACCATAGAGCAAAAGAACTATTCTCAGAAGCATCTTTTCACCTGCTATTACTTTTTTTATTGGCGTCTTATCTTATATAATTTAAATAAAATAACTTTAACTATTGTGCTATTTCTTGAATCTAAAATGCATGTTACTGTATTAGGTTTTTGTCTTGCAGCCTCACATCTGGATCGTTTCGCCTTTTATCCTGAAATTGTTATTATGGGTACTGGCAACAACATTTTACAAGACGCAAGTGTAGAAAGCTGTGTTGCTGAGTGTCTACAACAAGAAGCATTTAATTGTCGATCATTTGTCTACATCCCAATATATTCATTTTGCTTTCTTAACGAGGGATACTCAGCCTCAATGCTAGTTTCTATGTCCAACGGTGTATATTTATACGAAAGGATTGACATAGGTATGGTGTCTGAAATTTCAATTCAAATGATCGTAAATTCAACTTGTTAAAACATCACTAGTTATGATAACATTAATTCATAAAGAAAAACACAAACTATTATCCACAACGTTAATGAGTTTATTAATAGTCCACAAAACGGTTCTTATCGTGTGGTATAACAACAGGCCCCAATGCGTATATCAAAATGCGCTACGGAGTTTAAGCTTTAATACAATGAATTAAAAAGAATATTGGCCTATCAAGTAGAATTATAAACCATTGTGATTTTAGGGATTATAAAGTGAGATACGATAATTGTTATTACTCAATCATAATTGGACATTTTTGTTTTGTTTGACAATATATCTAACAAGGCAAAAATACAAATATTAAAGCTCAAACATTTTCAAAAAACAACATATATAAAATTAACTAAACTAAATTGGCCTACAAGAGTATATTACAATTGGCTGGAAGTCTGAGGGCCACCTAGGGCCCATGTTGAGGTCCAGGGGCAGAGCCACTGCGGAAAATACGATCTTTTACCAGATTAGAGGACTAATTTAATCGGTTATAATACTGCTTAATTTTAACAGGTCGTAAACAATAAAGTATAGAAACATGAAAGGTAAAAGCTATCTTGCCTTATATTTAAACATAGAGCTGAAAAGATTTACAAGTCTAATATATAAATTCAGTATTTATTTGACAAACAAAATCATCAAATCATCCCTCGTTGGCTTCATCGTGGAGGAAATAGAACTGTATTTTCAATTGCCGTGACAAGTACGGCCTAGCCATAATCGAAAATGCACAACTCTCCGTTTGGCTGTTCTGGCAATGGATTTCGATGTTGCAACTACATTTTGATGTTGATTCAACGTTAAAATAACGTTGTGTGCCCACCGGTTTTACATTCGAAACCAAACAATTCTGTCCTCATGCCCACTGATTCGCCACTGTAATCATGTTATTAGATACAAAGTATATTTTAAAGGCTTAATAACTCAATTAGCAGCGCTACAACCAATCGTTATCAAAACGCCATGTAAACGACTAGGTATTCTACTGGCTAATTGTTACTGCTTATTTCATAATTTAGAACCTGTGTCTTTATTTGAGCTCGTGCCAAACTCTGCGTTGCCTGATCAGAACGTGAGAGAATATAATAACGCTTTAATACAGAGATGCGCAAAACTTTGTCTGGATTCAGCCTCATTCTACTGTGTCTCTTTTGAATTTCAACGTTTTACTTTTCAATGTTGGTTAAGCAGTGTCTACCGTAAAACAGCAAATCCCCCTCTTAAAAGTGATTACGTAAACAACCCTTATGACTACTACGAACTGAAAACAATAGGTGAGTAAGATCTACTGTACGATTATTAGTTTAAACCAAGGAGGTATAAACATGTTTTCCTAAATTGTTTAAACTATATCTCCATTTTGTCGAAACATTAACAATCTTTATTAAAGATACAGTACTAGAAAGATATAAAATATTTTCTTGTTAAACAAAGAATAGGTATTATAAGTTATACATCCAATGTTGTTGTCCAATCTCTACCGTGCACTAATTTTCCATTAGTGCACGAATTGCTTGATCTTTTGTTTAGGTTCGCGTCAAAAAGGCCAATTCAACTTGTTTGTATCACCATATCATGTGCATCGCGATAAATTAATGCTTGCGTTTTTACACCTCACCACGACGCGCATCTTAAGAAGAGAGTTTGAAAATTACATTCGTAGAACAAGGTACTTTAGAACCCAAAGAAAGTCACTTCAAAATCAATATTATGTATGAAAAATTAAGGAATTTCTTGGAAAAAATGGACCTTAATAAGCAAAAGAAACTGAACATTTAATCGGAATATTTGAGGCCTATCTAGACCTATTTAAAGTCACAAGAAATTAATTTAGATTTATATAGACAGTAGGCCGAGGCCTAGGTCACTATCGATTCGTAGCGAGGACTAGATGAAATCATCACACGGTTTTACTTGTCTGCACTAAAAATGTGATTACTGCATTCTCTCAAATGCTTGAAGAAATTGTGATTTCTTTGAATAATATTAAACTCACGACAAGTTCTTCAAACGCAAATATTGTTCATCGTACACTGTGTAAACGTATATACCATTTGAACTTTACATGTGAATAACACACTGCTGAAAATAGATTTATTTTATTATTATGGTATTCAATATATCCTATTATTATATAATTATTATTAATTATTATATTATTATTGTTATTATTATTGTTATTGTTATCATTATTATTATTATTTTTATTATTATTACTACTACTATTACAGCTTCTGCCTCTACTACTGATGATAATCTTAGATCAACGCAGGTGATGACTCAAGGTAAATGTAAAGCTACTACGATACAATTATGTTTATGAAACTTAGCATGTAACTTGTCGATAGTTGTATTATTACCATTAATATTATTACAGCTATTACTATTAATCAATCAATACATTCATTTGTTCATTTATTCATAATGGTGTATTTATTAAAATCATCTTCACGGAAAAACTGATTTGTAATAAACTTTCACATAAAATCAATAAAGAAGAACAATTTATTTTTAAAAATCCGGAGCGAGTTCATTCTGTATTTAACATTATTTTTTATGTACAGTACAAACGAAAAAAAAAAAAAATGTTACATATTGTTGGAAAGGAGAAAGCCACAACAAACACAGTTTTTAACAGTGGGCCCCTTATGTAAAAAAAAAAAAAGATTTTTATAATTATTATTTTATTATTATTATTATTATTACTACTATTACAGGTACGGCTTCTATTACTGATGATAATCTTAGATCAACGCAGGTGATGACTCAAGGTAAATGTAAAGCTACTACGATACAATATGATTATGAAACTTAGCATGTAACTTGTCGATAGTTGTATTATTACCATTAATATTATTACAGCTATTACTATTATTCAATCAATACATTCATTTGTTCATTTATTCATAATGGTGTAATTATTAAAATCATCTTCACAGAAAAACTGATTTGTAATAAACTTTTACATAAAATCAATAAAGAAGAACAATTTATTTTTAAAAATCCAGAGCGAGTTTAATCTGTATTTAACATTATTTTTTATGTACAGTACAAACTAAAAAAAAAAAAAATGCTACATATTGTTGGAAAGGAGAAAGCCACAACAAACACAGTTTTTAACAGTGGGCCCCTTATGCAAAAAAAAAGAAGAAAGTTATAATTATTATTTTATTATTATTACTACTATTACAGGTACGGCTTCTATTACTGATGATAATCTTAGATCAACGCAGGTGATGACTCAAGGTAAATGTAAAGCTACTACGATACAATATGATTATGAAACTTAGCATGTAACTTGTCGGTAGTTGTATTATTATCATTATTATTATTACAGTTATTACTATTTATCAATCAATACATTCATTCATTCATTCATGATGGTATATTATTAAAATCATCTTCAGAGAAAAACTGAATTGTAATAAACTTTTACATAAAATCAATCAAGAAGAACAATTAATTTTTAAAAATCTTGAGCGAGTTTAATCTGTATTCAACATTATTTTTTTATTTACAGTACAAACTATTAAAAATGTTACATTTATTTATTTATTTATTTCGGTATAAAATGTACAACAGGCAGCCAGATGACTGAAAACGTTGAACTCACATATATCAAAAAGTAAACAACAATATAAACATGAGATTAAAAATATAAATAAAAAATCAACAGTCAGAGGATTAATTCTAGCCTACGCAGCTAGTTCGTTGTTAATCAATTGCAGTAATGTTAGAATTGGTGACTTTCTAAAACGTTCTGTTTTGGACCTACTAAATTCAAGTTGTCTTACAAACAGGAGGGAGCATTTCGCGATATTTGTCTGATGTCATTAATTTTTTACCGAAACTAAGTAGAATTCTTTTTACGTCTAACCTTAAGAGACTGAAGATTAAGGTAGCACAGAGCAAGATCATAAGTGATATAGTTGGGGCCCAGGATGATTCTAAGGGCCCTCTTTTGTACCCGTTCAATTTGATGACTATGACGTCGAGTGATGGCTCCATGCTAAAGTAAACACACGTTATATCATCTATGGGGGCTTTGGCTCTGCGCAATATACATAGCGTGTATACAGTATAGTCGTCGAGATGCCTTGCTAATAATATCACCAACATGCAAATCCCATTTTAAATTATCTTGGATGGTAACACCTAATAATTTTATATGTGCTACAACTTTGAGTACAATACCATCAACGGAGAATATAGGGGGAAGAATTTCTCTTAGCAGAAAATTAATTCTCATTATATGACACTTAGTTGGATTCTGGATCATATATTATTCAAATGGCACCAGTTCGTTATCTTATCAAGACCGGTTTGCAGGAATTGAGGTCCTCTGTATTTAAAGGGGGGGGATGAGGGGGTGCGGGGATGAAACGATTAATTGTTAATTTAAAATAGAGGGATGGACGACCACAACGACGGTGATGGCACTCGATTTTGGAGCGCGGTATTCGAAAACCAGGCTCGTGAACTGGGTCCCAAAAAAACAAAACTGGTGCTACAGGATTTTGAGCTAGTGTTATAAGATAGGGAATTTCCTAAAATGTACCGACTTTCAAAGGCTTGCATTCGGTAACCCCATAAAAAATCGTGTCAAACTTTAGATATTTAGTTGGATTCGGGATCATATTATTCAAATGACACCAGTTCGTTATCTTCTCAAGAACGGTTTGCAGGAATTGAGGTCCTCAGTATTTAACAGTCTCACCAATCGTGAGGTCATCTACAAATTTCCATCCACTGCAGCTTCCTATAGAGATGTCATTGACAAGGATGACAAATAATATGGGTCCAAGTTTGGTTCCCTGTGGGGCACCACATGTAATTTCTTTGTGGATCGAGATATACATTGTTTAAACCCAGAGGTGACGGAACTAGGGGGTGCTGTGTTATGGAGAGTAATGTGTGACCGGAAATGGTCTGCAGTCAGTTGGTTGTTACCATGCGCCAGTGATATTGGAGTATATAATACAGCAATATGAAACTATTATGTATGCCTAATGAATGAATGAAGTTCGGAGTTTGTCGGGTAGTGAAAGGATTATTTCACATTTTAAGTGCTCCCTAAATTCATAAGTGTAAGCTAAATACGGTGATTAATTTAATTAGCGAAGATATGGAGACAATTATTTCGAATCCCTCTTTCCAAGAGGGGATGAAATGCTTTGTGAAAATGAGTACGCCGCGGTACTCATTTTCACAAAGAAATACACACAACTGGTTAGTTCTAACAATATGTCAATGTTACATGAACACATGGGAAGGAAGGTGCAAGTTCACGTTGTTACCTAGCAAACGTCTGTACTGTATGGGGGAGGGGCTGCTGATGTACTGTGTAGCGGGGGACGATGAGGTATAAGACTAGGCCTAACTAAGACAGTGGGATTATATGTGATAGAAAGTACACTTTCGGAAAAAATAAATTAAAATAAGAAAAAAAAATAACTAAGAATAATTCATTTGCAGAGGTACCTTATTTAAGTATTATACAATGCTAACAATGCGGCTCTTGTAGCCCTGGCTTGGGCAAAGCATCCATGTGCAAAGCAGTGGTGTTTGTTTATCCATGAAAAAAGCACGCCGGGAAAGTTTGCCTTACCAGGAAAAGGTGACGTATCTAGCTTATGACGTATGCATGCTAACTAATGTGAGTGTGACGTCACCAAAAAATGAATATTTTCTATTATAACCAAAATATTAATAACTACACAGTTTCTGGGCGTAAATTTCCTTAATATGAATGAAGGGTTGCTCAATCTCCTTGCCATACAAATTACAGCTCCCACTGACGTCTCAGTCGAGAAATACGGGTAGCTGAAGTTTTTCTCGCAAATCTGACTACAAAACCATATCCAAATTTCACGTTCCACTTTTGACCCTGAGTTGTGCTTCGCACTCGCCGCTGAGATGAGATGAAGCTGCAGATGATGGGGATAAGAGATGACCTCACTCCTATATTAATGAACTTGTCTCGACGACCACACTATGATCAACTCGATTAAAAGCTTTAGAAAAATCGATGGCACATTTGCAAAAGTACCAGAGGCTTGAAGCCCACTAACAACTGTGTTGATTAAGTCAATAAGATTGTGACGTCGAGGAGCCTTTTTGCAAGTATATTGTTTCACATCGAAAAAACCATTAATGCCCTCTTAATGTAATCCAAGAGACAATTATAAAAGATAAACAAATTCTGGCAAATGTGGTGTTAAAGATATGGGTCGCAAGTCTTTCAATGATGATATATTATTAACTTTAATTAACTAATTTAATTAATCGGGGGTGGGGTTACCAGACTTACGGGCATTTAACTTACAGATCAGGTTAAAAACCTGTCCAGGAAAAAATCTTGGGTGGGGGATAAATAGCCGGAATGAAAGCTGGTAATACTTTCAGATCCAAGGGAGGTAGTGTACAACAGACAGACACAAAATTATTATTTATCCTGATTGCATTCTTCATGCCACTCTCCGGGAAAGTTGAAAGCTGGTTTGTTTTTTAAGTTGCATAGATCTCTTACGTTTCTGTGCCATTTACCAGGACTGTTGTGATTCAAGCACTGAATGTCATTGTTGTAAAATGACTTTTTTTTTGCGCATTTGATAGCCCTTTGTACCTGGTTTCTCAGATAATTCCATTCAGCTTCAGATGCTCGCTTATAAGCTCGCTGTCGTTCATCTAGTAGGCGTCTAATCTTTGGAGTAATCCATGATCGATCTGCAGTGCGTTTACGCACGTTCTTTATTACGATTGAAAGCACCTATAATAAGTGCATTAGTTTTAGCGTTACTCGAAGAGTCGTTATAAACTCACTCCTACACTCATGTACCGTAATCCACTACCCAAAATTCCTGACTGAGGAGTCCGTATAAGGTCTCACTTTACTGTGGACATACTTCGACTGTTTGATTTCGTTTCGTGGTTTAATAACCACAGAGTCATGATCGCTCCGACCTAGAGCTGTGCGTGGCGTTCAGGAGGGTGATAGACCTCGGGATGGCTAATGAATACTTTATCCAAAAATGAATTTTTGTGTGTAGAAAAATGAACAATCTGGGTCATAGAAAGGCTGGAATTTAACAGATCAGTGTCCAAGTCGTTGAAATCCCCTAATATGAAAATGAATGTAGAGAGGTCTTCGGAACGGATTGCATCAACAGTATGTATTAAATGGTCTAACAAGTCATCGCCACCAATGGCTGATGGTGGATAATAAACGGCACCTATGAAGTAGCACTGGGAGATCCTGCTTTGAGTCGGGGAGAATGATTTTCCTTCAACAACATTCATATTCACATGCTTCATGTTCGGCAAAATTATGTACGCTAATATTATTATTTGTGAATAAAGCAACTCCTCCTCCTGTATGTTCGCACCTATTCTTTGCAATGTAATTGAACCTGGGAATGTTAACTAAAGCTTTGGTTCGATCATTCAGCCATGATTCTGTAATACAGCTACATTGCTACCAAGTTTCGTTACCGTTGCTTCAAACTCATCAATCTTATTGTTCAATGATCTTGCGTTTGATAAGAAAAACCGAGGGCTCGTGTGAATAACTTTAGAATTTTGCTCCAATTTGATATTAATTAGATTGTTATTCCTAAGTTTCCGTTCGTCAGTAGGCCTATATTTTGAATTACGTTTAAATACATTCCGATAGCTGCCAGTGTTTATCCGCACTTCAATTTTGCATCTTAATTTTCTACCACCTCGTTTTCCTTTGGTTTGATAACGCCTGTTCCTAGTACAACATGGTTGATAACAACGTATATCATACTCACGAGGGCAATGTATGTATCTAGCCCTGTCTTCATTTGTATTGAGCATTCCATGCATTGTGTCAACATGGCATTCAAATGAATAGTTCTCCAGTGATGCAAAAAGGTACGGGCTACGTCGGTTAGAGTAATGCAATCCAAAACAGTTTACTCAATTAAAGTCCAAGACTAATAAATACACAATTAAGTACAGAAGATATCCACAATTATTATAAGCAGTCATATACGAATATTTAGAATACAAAAATCACAAGAAATTGCAGTTCAAATTGAACTAACGGTCAAGCAGTTCCGACAGCGATTAACCTGATAAAACATATTGTTGGAAAGGAGAAAGCCACAACAAACACAGTTTTTAAGAGTGGGCCCTTATGTAAAAAAAAAAAAAAGAAGATTTTTATGATTATTATTTGTATTATTATTACTACTACTATTACAGATACTGTTTCTATAACTGATGATAATCTTAGATCATCGCAGGTGATGACTCAAGGTAAATTTAAAGCTACTACGATACAATTATATAATATTGATGAAACTTAGCATGTAACTTGTCGATAGTTGTATTATTATTATCATTATTATTATTACTGCTATTGCTATTAATCAATCAATACATTCATTCATTCCTTCAATGGTGTTTTTATTAAAATCATCTTCACGGAAAAACTGAATTGTAACAAACTTTTACGTAAAATCAATAAAAAAGAACAATTATTTTTAAAAAATCTAGAGCGAGTTTAATCTGTATTCAACATTCGGCGCTTATTCGAGCATTACGGTATTGTTTATATAACGTACTTGAATATCATGAACTGTTTTTCTGGTTAGCCTATATTATGAAGCTTAAGCATATTATAAGGTTCGACATAACATATAATAAAATTTAATATTTCTTTGAATTGTATACAGTGTCCGAATTAAAGTTTACAGTTGGTATAACTTTCGTGGTAGAATCACCGGAAGTATTCGAGGTTCCTCTGACATCTGACCCGAATAGCGTCACATTCTCGACATCAGTTGTTGATCCACTGGAAGAAGGTATGCATAATTTTAAACTAAAAACGAAATCACACATTAATATCAAAGTCCATTGTCACACTTACAAATCTTAAATCTATTATAGATTGAATTGTAATTTTGAGTATTAATAATGATGATGATGATGATGATGACGATAGCAATGGCGACTACGACGAAGACGACGACGACGACGAATAAGATGATGATGGTGATGATGATGGATTGTGTTGATGGCGACAATGATAAAAAAAAAAATAACTATGTGAAGGGACTGATGTATGTAATTAGTTAAACTACACCTTTAGGAAGACTTCAATGGAACTTCCCCAGTCGGCCGTTTAATTGAAATTATTAATATCGTGTGTAAGTGTCTCCTAGATCATGTTAATACTCCCAATGTGTGTTGTTCTACATCCTTTTTTTTCACAAATACAGGTTATTCCTCCGTGGTCTAATAAAAGACCCCTCCAATTAAAGACCACCTCCAAATTAAAGATCACTTTTCTGTAGTCCCAAATTAACAAATGTCTTTTATTTTTATTATTCTAATTAAAGACCAAAGCTGCTTAAGACCATGAAAACCCCGGTCCCAAAAAATGCTCTTTAATTGGAGGCAGACTTGTTCATGATGGCAAGAACTCCATACAGTACTCCACTACTGGGAATTTTCTCCAAAAACTATTCTTTAACCTTGAGAATTTTTTTATCTATCTCCACCTTTTGTCCCACTCAAATTTCACATGTTTACCGAGTAGCACAAACACCATATGGCTTAAAAAATTCACTCAGAAGTAATAACACATCTATCGCCATGTGCATACACATAATGTTGTTGCTGCTGATTCTGTGGTGTTGCTATTGATGTCGCTAATACTGATGTTGGTGCAGCTGATGTTACTGGTGTTGGTGGTGCTGTTAATTGTGGTGCTGGTGCTAACGCTGTTACTGCTACTTTGGTACTGGAGTGGCTGGTTCTGTTGTTGATACAATTTTATAGCTACTGTACTTATTAAGGAAAACCGATATGTTCTTATTTAGACGGACCATTCAAAGTGGTTGCAAGTGTAAAGTTTGACTATGATGATCAACTGGAAACTGTGTAAGCACTTTCTTCTCATTTAAACTTGAAAAAAACGGTAATCGTTACGGTCCCAGCTTATCATAGACAGCATTTTCCCCACTGTCCCCGACCAACCCCTAATTGTCCCCCTTTTTGACAAATCTTTCAATAATGAAAATTATTTAAAATTTACCTCACACACCAATTCTCTGCCGTGATAAAACAATATTCAAGTTTAGTATTAATTTATTATTGTGTACTAGGCCTATATAATCCTAAATTCATGTTTTTATGAGTTTAGATTTAGCTTATACGTTAGGCTTATATGTTAGTCTGGAATGGTGGTAGATAATCTGATGCTAATGAACAACGCTTTAAGACAAGGCAGCTCAGTATATTGTGTTTTACTGGTTTAATGTATGTTATTGAATGTGTTTTTATTTTCTAAATTGGATATTTTTGTATTACACAGATAATGTGTCACAATCATATTAAAAATATATTACATTTTATGTTTAGTTAGTATGTAGAATTAGTCGTTCCTAACAATATGTTATATTTAACAGCAATTGGAACAAGTTGCCGAGAGTGTCCGAAGTCGTGACCATTAATATATATGACAGGAATCAGAATGAAATAAGTATCGGTTGTAAGATCCACTTCCCAATTATTAAGGTAAACCATATTTGAAACTAAATTAAAAAATAATATATACAGTAGTGCACCATCCAATTCGAGACCCCTCTAATTTGAGACCATTTTCAAAAGACCCAAATAACAATTTTCAATCTTTTAACACAAAGTTAGCCCTCTAATTGGAGACCAACCCCGAGACCACCCCAATTGTTTAGGTCCCAAAGGTGGTCTCGAATTGAAGGGCGAAATGTGTATAAGATAGTATATATTATTACTATTTTGAAATTATTTTTAAATTTAAGTTTCTGTATAATAGTTATCCATAGGTTATTGTTATCAACTATTACTGTTTTTATTTTTAGCATATGATCATCATTATGGTTTTTATTTTCATTAGCTCTATCAATAATATTATTATTGCCATTATCGTTTCCATTGTCATTATTATTATTTCATATGCCTATAAACCCTTATGATATGATGTGCGTACATATGATGTGCGTAAACTAAGACATGCATACATATACTCTGTACCCTCTCATATAACTAAACCATAGCTGAAAATGTGTTCGTTTTGTCTGGTTTTTGTATTCAGTATCTGCGTTAATAGGCGCATTGAAAAATTGAAAGACTGCTACAGTTTTACTTAGTTGGAAGTAGGACTATCGATTGTGAAATTAAATTTCACAATCACAATTTAACAAAATAAACACATTCTTAAACAACAACAAAAACCAATAATGTTAGGCCTAATGTGCTTGTCTCTATATTCATACAAACAAATATTGGGTAGAGAAATATACCCTTGTCCTGTATATTCTAGTCCAGTGTATCTAACGGGTAGATATGAGTTGTATTTCAGGCTGAATTGGCATATATTTATGTATTTGAAATTTCTGTTTTTTATTTTACCAATATATTCAAGGACGTAACTGCAGAAAATACTTCGAATGCGAATCGCATCCCAGCATGTCACTACAAACAAGATATAAATGACACGTCAGCGTAAGTTCAGTACTGTTAATTGTTTGCATAACAAGTTAATAATAAACCAAACCAACAATAACGTAATACTGTTTATGGCGAATTAATACAAACGTAAATCTCATCCCAGCATGTCACTATAAATACGATAATTGTAAGTTCAGTTATTTCTTTTTTTACAAACAATATAATTAAATAGTACCGGTAATAAATCAAATAAGAAATTTTAATCATAATAAATATAATAATAAAATAAATATTAGGCCAATATAATATATGATTTGATGATGGTGTAATCTCCGATGGATAAAATAAAATTTATCCATATCTGTGAAGGAACATTTGTATAAAAATATTTATGATCATGCCAGCGGTAACGAGCATCGACGACGCGCAACAATGAAGGCAACAATGACGGTGACACAACCATAGTCGACGACAAAAACAACTGTAATATACACATTACACATTGTATTACACAATTTATTTATTTAAATATAAATATATATTATTTAATTAGATCAAATATATAATAAATGCCTACAATGTAGTAACAACACCTTGACTTATTTTTTTAAAGATTGTGGTCATCGAATGGTTGTGTGACAGATTATGCCATCGACTATATGGTTAGCGGAGTGACGTGCATATGTACTCACCTGACGTCGTTTGTCATTCTGATGAAACCCAATCAGGTAAGAATAAATGGAAATTATGTTTTAATGAAACCGTAAGAAAATGTTTTTAAAAGCTTTAGAGGTACTGACGTGCGTGGTAAGTATATGAGCTTCTACTGTTTGCTATTTGTCCTAAGATTGACGCGCTAATTCTTATACAGCAGTTTTATATTTTACAGATAAATAACGGGACTTTGTCCGTGCTTACGACCGTTGGAGTTTCAATTTCGAATGTTTTTCTTATCACTACCCTCGTTACCATTTGTGGTTTGAAGTAAGTTGACGTAGAATAACAGTAACTATAATTATGAAAATAATAATAATAATATTATTAATAATAATAATAATAATAATAATAATAACAACAACAATAACAATTTTAAATACTTAAGATTTTATACGTAAATTTTTAATTTGCAATTTTTTTAAATTTTTCTTGTTCTCAAATCATATTGTTTGTGCACTTTGAGCATTGAATAACTTCAATCAGCCAATCAATTAATCCATCGTTCCGCAACCTATGGGTCGCGGCCCAATGTTCGGGTCGCGGAAAATCTTGATGGGTTGCATATCCTCTTCATATCGTGAAAAAATGAGAGTCATGTGCGTCAGTTTACTTTTGTAATGCGTGCGTTATCAAAGTTTTGATGTTAAGAAATACACTTTTGAAACATTTGTACTGCAGGTATTTCAACCTGCAAGTGTTAGTTTTGTTAATTTTAAAGTGTATGACTTTCACCTGAAAATCATAATGAGAAAACATTTTTCTCTTCCATTAAATATATCTGTCTTTTGCATAACCCATTAAATCAAAGTGTTAGTTTTGTTCATTTCAACTGTGTTTGGCTTAAAAATGTTTCAAAATGTGTCTATGTCTTCGCATAACCCATAGATTTCTGGCAGCAAATCTAGGATTTTATGAATAATAAAATGCCTGTAAATCATTAATTTTACAAACCTTTAACTTATTTAAAGATTTTATAACTTACGTGGCTTTGTTAAATTAGTAATTCAAAGTTATATTTTAATTTTTATGGGTATTAAATTGATTTTGGGTGATAGTATATTTTTGCCAAAAGAATCAAGTGGGTAGTATCCTATAATACCAGCTATCCCTAGGGCGGGAAAAAAAAAAACACGGACGTGATTTATTGACTTCAGGTTCGATGGGTCGCGTCTGAGTGCTTGATATCTAATTTGGGTCGTGGGCTAAACGAGGAACGGGGAATTAATCAATGGTAGACTTATAGAGACCTCTATGAGCAACAAAACCAAACAAAAAGCTCAGCTGCATGTCTGTGTTGCCTTCCCACTAGTCTAGGTTGTTGTCCTCAGAATTACATATGTAGAGAAAATATCTAAAAGAAGCAAGTTGTATGAAAACCAACCCCTGTGTATTTTCGTATCAGAGGCTTGAGGAACTTAGGCCGGTACAAAATCTTGCGTCATTTGGTCATCGCCTTACTCTGTGTCAATTTCTTCTTTTTGCTCCTGGAAGCTGATGTGAAGAATACGGTATGTTGAATTTATATGAAATAAATATCATAAAATATTTGTAGGCAAATGTTGATAAAAAAATTAATGTAAAAGTAATGAGTGGGATTTATATAGCGCTTTATACTGAAGTGTCAGGGCACTCTAGGTGTGGACAAGCTCGTAAAAGTAAATTTCTTCTCCTCTAAGGGTCTCTTCGTGTCTGAGCTACCCAGTAAACCGGTACCAGCTACTCTTGTCTGTACCAGGGAACGAGCCAAGTTGGGTGCACTAGGCCTACGGTTCATAGTCCTTATCTGAGAAGACTCGAACTACCACCAAAACCATGGTCTAGCGTGTCGTTCGAATCAGCGCCGATTTATGGCTGTACTCCGGCATTCGATTAATATACATATAATGTAATGTATTTCGATTTATATAGCGCTTTATACCGGAGTCTCAAAGCGCTGTGGATTAGCTCGTACTGTAACTTTCTTCTTTCCTAAGGGGCTCTTCATGACTGAGCTACCCGGTAAACCGGTACCAGCTACTCTCATCTGTCCACAACGGGTTGTATGGACCAGTGCACCGGAGTAACCTCCTACTCGTCTCGAAAGATGTATTGGGTTCTTTTAAATGCACACGAGCCAAATTAGATACACTGGGCCTACGGTTAAGCCTTATTCGAGAAGATTTGTTCCACCACCAGAACCATAGGCGAGCGTACCGTTCGAACCAGCGCCGATATTTTAGCTATAGGTTGCGGCGCCCCTCAATGAAAACAGTTGCTGCACTTGAATACTTTAACTGCTTTATTCTTTTATTTCAACCACTTTATTTCAAAAAAGGATTAAATATCGTTGCATACATCTGAACATAACAACTTAGCTCGCATGTCTAGCCTTAGAAATAAGGGGACAATGCAAGGTATGTTATGATTACTATCCTAAATGAACATTATCTCACTGAATCGGTACATGTTGAAATTCGACTTTGAACCTTTAACTTTGACTTTTCATCGAAATACTGTACTCGAGCGAATAAGCGCAAGGGCGCTTAAAATATTTTTTTAAACACTTTTTGAGGGGCGCTTATTCAAACGACGCGCTCATGAAAACAGAGTGGAAATTGAGGGGGTGCTTATGGAAATTTATGAAAATTGAGGGGTTCTAGGGGAATCTGGAAAATTCAAGGGGCGCTTTTTGAATGAAAAATTATTATAATATAAGGACATCTGGAAACCAAAAATTACGAATGGTTCTGGTGCAGAAAAAAAATCGCCATGAGAACATGGCTCATGACAAAAATGCGAGTTTTAACAGTAGATGAAATTAATATGGTACTAGTGGTGGCGGTGTATAAGCTTGTTAAGCATCTGCCGATTGAGATTAGCAGGATCATTGCAGGGCTTCTTGCAAACTCAGATGGAAACGTGCTAAAGGTACAAATTCTCTGGAATTAAAGGAGAAAATTAGGACTAGGCCTAAGACTAAGACTAGAAAAATGTAAGAAGAGCAAAGTTGGAGAGATATACTGTACAGGGAGCTTTCATCTATCCGCGAGAAAATATCCTCATTTTGAAATTGACATAAGAAGAAAATGTGAATCCACTCCGCATGGATTGTTTGGGTTATTGGCTTGCTAAGAAAAAAAAATCACATATTGTTAGAAAAAATAATAAACTTATTCGCGCGAGTACGGTAATGTTAACATAATTTTTTATGTAAACACACAAAGATCAGATAGTATGATACAAACTCTAGAAAAAGTAATACACGATTGAATATTTCCAAATTTAGTTCATCTTCATTCCTGAAAATGCACTAATAAAGTTTTTTCTATAAAGTAAAGTTTTTTCTAGCTATCTAATGTCAAACTTATCGGTGAAACCCTTGGTTTCACAGAGTGCTTTCGTGTTAATTTGGGGCTCGAGTGCAATCAGACCATATTAAAATCTAACCCTTTGACCATTAAATGACATTTGACCTTAACCCGCCTGAAACAAGGCTTTTGAAAGAAAACCATTCAACTTGGATCTAAAATCATAAAAAGAAATAAAAACAACCAGCAAAACATATCTATCTTGGATACATCTCTGAAGAATCGCTACAAAGTTGGAGTTTGGAATCATCTAACTTTTCATACCGCTCATTGTAAGCGGTATGAAAAGTTAGATAGGCATCATCACTAACGTAATTGACGTATAAAATTACACAAATAATTGTGTATAACAAAATGTAAAAAAAAAAAAAAAACGCAGTCAAAATCTAATAAAATGCTGAAATGCTTTTTTTTTAAAGATCGCATGCGGTTTTCTGGCTGGATGCTTACATTACAGTCTTTTGGTAGCTTTCTCTTGGATGTTGATAATGTCAACAGATGTATACATGAAGATCAAACATCCGTTTGCTGATCATGAGAGGCGCTTCTTGTACAGTCGATACATTGGTTGGATTGGACCTTTCACTATCGTTGGGACAACTGTTGGTATAACACGAGGAAACTACGCATCTAATGAGTAAATTCGAGCTACATTTTCGAAACTTTTGCTTTAGTTTTAAACATTCAATTGAATTTCTTAAATGCCTGAACTCATTTAGTATAGGCATGTATCCGGTAAAATTTTAAATAAACCCACATAAAGTAGGCTAATTGTATTTTAAATTTTTCCTTTAAATTTGAAATATATTATTAAATTTTCAAAGACGTTTACAAGGTTTTGACCCAAATTTTAATTGTAATACTGTGTAGTAAATATGGTAACAGCGACTACGGATGACGACGTCGACGACCACGACGACGGCGACGACGATGATTGATGATGATGTAATAATAATAAAACACAGACCAATTTAATTCAAGTCATTCACATCATACTTTTTACCAATGGGAAGTGTATGGTGAAGTATATAGAAAATGTGCATTAATAAGTGATTTGCAGCATATTTACACATTTCGATATTATCAATTCTAGATGCTGGTTGGAGTCTAGATCTGGTGCCATATGGGCGTTCGTTTCTCCCTTGTGCCTCACCATTCTGGTAATTTATACTTCCATATCCACTTAATAATGAGAACGATTATATACCCATGGTAAAGAATAAGTTAGAAGGAAAAAAAGTCGTAAGAATACAAGTGTAAGAATATAAGGTGTGTAATTTGTGTTATACACCTTATTTCGGCATTACAATATATAAATTAGCTGCCTGAAATATGATCACATTTAATTGTTCTCTTTGTTACAACATAACACAACAGATCACATTGCTATCCCTGAAAACGTATTATTATTAATAATAATAATAATAATAATAATAATAATAATAATAATAATAATAGTAATATAATATAAATTTTTAAAAAACACAATTCGTCGGGAGAAAAAAATATTATATGTATTTTTTTCATTTTAGTAGATACAATCGATTAAATAAGCCTTTGAAACCCATAAATTGTCGAAATTTTCGGGGGTTTCGTCCCCAGAACCACTTTCGGAACCTTTATCGAAGCTCGACCACGCCCACTTTGCTTTCGTCGGGGAAATCTGACACCTCGTCGGGACCTCGGCCCCACCGTCGGTCAATTCCTGGCACCACCCCTGGGTCCGAGCCACGTGGCCGACAAAGCCTTGGTCGACGGGGAGATGTGCTCTTAGACCACAATATTAGTTATGAATTGGCACAAATAATAACGTTATTTGCATAGGAAATTTTTTTTTATTTTTTTTATTTTTTTTTTATTCGATAACCTAGCCTAGGTCTGTCCGACGTGATGTAGGGGAGGATTCCCCTTCACCCTCCCCCGCTGGGGCGATGACATACTGGGTTGTTTATAGTGCACACGAGCGATTGTATGCACTGGGCCTACGTTTAATAGTTCTTATCCGAGTAGACTTGCTCTATCACCACAGAACCATAGGTGAGCGTGCCGTTTGAACCCGTGTCGATGTTATGGCTGTAGGTTGCGGCGCCACTGCATTAACTGCTCAGCCATTCGACTCACAGCATACCCTTTTTTATAGCGCCTTGTACAGTTGGAATTTATTTTTTAGACCCTAGCAAATATTACCTTAACTTAGCCCCTCGGCTGCAGCCGAGATGTTACTAACAACGGTCTGCCAGAATGTTCTGTCATTCATTGCTCTACTGATGTCTTCGAGGCTGAGTTCGATGTTTCTGACAATGGTGTCTGGAAAAGTGAGAGGCTGCCTGCCGCGTCGAGAGTATGGAGGTTTCCGGAAAAGGAGGTCTGAAATTATTTGGTTTTCTGCTCTAAAGCAATGTCCAGCGAAGCGAGTTTTCCTGATTGCAAGTGTGGATGAAATTGGAAGAAGGTCATTATAAATCTGCTGTTTGGTTGAGTAGTTTCTCTAGCCAATATTTTGGATTCATCAGGAGTTTGGTGTAGGTGCCATCTAGTCTCTTCTCTAGATTTTTCTTCATGGTCCATGTTTCTGACCCGTATAAAAGAATACTTTCCACGCAGGCACGGAAGAATTTAAACTTTGTACTAACAGGGATAGATAGATTGTCATATAACATGAAGTTTGTTACATGCAGTCCATGTTTGACATTTACGAGAGAAAAAGTCCGTTTGGCTTTCTCTTACAAATGATCCAAGATACTTGAAATCCTTCACTTCTTTCAACATTGATCCATCAATGGTGCAGATCAAAGGGTGGCCATCGTCTTCATTAAATACCAAACACTAGGTTTTCCTGGCATTAAGAAGTAATCCTGCTTTGGTCGCTGCAGTTTCTAGTGAAGTAAGGAGATCCTGTGTATCTTTGAGGTTGTCTGAGGTCAGAGCTAGGTCGTCAGCATAATTTTAATCAGTAATGAATATTCCTTGATGACGTCTGGATGATCCGGGCTTAATAGTGAGATATTTAGAATAGATTTTGTCTAGTGACTGCCTGAGAATGTAGTCGATGACTATGACAAACAGATATGGAGCAGGAGTGTCCCCTTGAAGTATTCCTTTCTTGATTGTAAATTGATCAGTGGGACAATCTGATGTCTCCATATAGCTGGTAAGATTCTCGTACATTATTGCGATGGCCTTGATCAAATCTAGGGATGCCGTACAGAGTGAGAATATGAAACATTTTCCTGAGTCAAATGCTTTTGGGTAATTTCCCTGAGAATATTCCAGGAATGTTGATTTTCCACATATACTTTATGTAGTTCCTTCGCTTTTTGCCTGATGTAATCTTCCAAGGAGCTTTCAAAAGCCTTGTTCAGCTTGGCTTTAGCAGCTCCAAGCCGTTTCCTTGTCTTCCGAGCCTACTACGTCGCCAGTTTGCTTCAGAGGCCAGGTTTATTGTCTCTCTGGACTTAGTGATCTCTGTGATGACAGATGGCCATTTCGATTGTTTTGATACGCTTAGGTAGGATATTTAAAGCCTTTATTAGGGCGCCGTAAGCAGTAGAAAAATCCACCCTGTTCACCGGCAATTCATCAATAAGTTGTTCGAAAACAATTACGAACTGTAACTTTGTATTGGTTTCGGAGATTAGAATCGGTAATAATCTTACGCCAGTCAATTGTTTTCATAGGGTATATAAGACGAGTCTTGCTCTGACGATAACTAATCTGACATTTGCATGATACAACAAGATGATTAGAGTCAACAACATCAAAGGAATATAACAAATTATAATTCGGTTATATTTACTTTCTATTACCAATAAGATGAACCTTGTTTTTATATGTATTTTCCTCGTAAAGTTATAGAAACAATTCACATTTACCTACAAATTTTTACATAAAACTTGATATATTTTCAATAGATTGTCCTCGTAGAGTTAATGGTTGTTGGTTATATAGCTTTCAAGAAATCTCAACTACCGAACCAAACTGGACGAGAAATAGAAAATCTCAAACGAATCAGGTTAGAAAATAGAAAATAGCGGGACTGATATTTACGAATTTTATTTATAATATATAAACAAATAAATATATATATATATATATATGTATATGTATATACATATATATATATATATATATATATATATACATACATTATTAGGCTAATTTTAGTCATGTTTTATATTTGAAGTCGGTCGATGTCTAAATTCGATAATGTTGTTGCCTTGTTTTTTCCTATTTTAAAACAAGCAATTAAGCTATGTGACTGTTATGGTAATACTTAAAAACTGATTCATGTTCACCGTTTACAAATATTAATCATCTAGGCAATAAATTACTGTTTAAAGATCATCTCGGGTGAGCCGGTAGGTCCATAATAATCGTGTATTGGAATATGATTTTTTAAGTTTCATTTACAAATGTTTGTCTTTATACCATAATTCGACGAATAAGTGATGTAGTCTTTAGAGTTTTTAAAATATATCATGCAATGAAAATTGCGTAAATTGAACACACGTCTATTTGGTTTTGTAGATAATTTTCAATTGCATAGTTATATACAGATTTGTCCGTTCTGCATTACGTTTGCAGGGGCGGATCCTATTTTTTTTTTACTGGGACTTACAACGCCATGGACGTAGCCAGGATTTTGAAAGGGGGTGGGGGGATGGAGCCGTTATGCGAATTACGTATGACCCCGGCGGGGTCAAGGGGGCGAATCCCCTGTGAAGTAGCGCACTGTGAACGTTCTTAGGACTGTTTGAAAGGATAAAGTGAAAATTGCAATAGACGCATTATAAATAAGCGAAAAATTAATTATATAATAAATCAGCAGTGGCAGATTCAGAAATTCGAAAGAGAGGTGAAACAGGGACTCAGGGAGCGACTTTCACAGACCGAGGAACCACCCACCTCAGCCCCAGCATGGTTGGGGCTGAGGTAAGAAAATTTATGATTAGGGCATCTCTAGATGGCCGGAAATTACACTCTCGCACTTCAATTTGAATTTATTTTAAGGGGGAGGGGGGTGCCTTGAATCCACCTCTGCTCAAAACATTCTTTATCCAGAATATTCATAATCACGAAAAATGGACACGAAAAACCAGATCACATCCTAAAAACAAACAGCAGTCACTAAAACATACATCAGGAGCCGACTCGACGGAGTTTAATGTCATACCCAGGGAAAGGCACAGATCTGTTTTGAAAGGTGGAGGGGGAGGGTATTTTGTGAGTCGACACCCACCTCAGCCCCACAATGGTTGGAGCTGAGGTGAGAAAATTTGAGGAAATAGTACCTCTAGATGGCCAGAAATGACACTTTTAGTAAAATTCATCGTTATCTCATCACCATTAGTCAAAATGAAGCGCCAAAAATAATTCTCATGATCTTTTATCAGGGATTTTTGACAACCATAGAGATCTTATTAATGTGTTTGTGTATACCATAGAAAACAAAGCTTAAAAACATTGTCTTTGAGTATGTACTTTACATATGCCTACTTCAAAAACGTGATTTCACAAACCTCAGCCCCACCATGGCTGGGGCTGACTAGGTGAGAAAATTTGAGGAAATATTACCTCTCGAAACGGCCGGAAATGACACTTTTATATAGTAAAATTCATCATCATCACATTACCATTATAGTCAAAATGAAACGCCAACAAATTTCTCATGATCTTTTATCAGGGATCTACTTAATATCCAGGAAAACTTAGGCCTAATTATAGCTTACTAAGCTTTAACTATATACTACCGTATATTATGATCAACAAATCACAACTATTTTTTGCATTTAGCACCATTTTCTTCACTTTTTATTGCTATTAATATTAATATCAATTATTACTATCGTCATCATCATCATTGTTATTATTATTATTATTACTATTAGTAGTAGTATTATTAAACAAACATTTAAAGAAACTTGCAAAAGGATAAAAACGAAATTGTCGCATTTCTATCTTAAAAGACCTGGCCTGAGATTTATGGATTTAAGATTTTTTTAAATCACGCTTAGGCCTATGTGTTCTATTAGGCCTATGTATAACGTGTACTGATGCATATTTACATGTTTAAAAGTATTCATTTTAGTGATCCCAGGAAAGAATTTGTATTGGCTCAAGAATAAGCTTTAACATTTCAACACTGTGTACAAAGAGGGGGGTGGGGGAGCCGCGGCTCCCCCCCTGGATACGTCCCTGTACAACGCCAATTCGGGGAGCTATGGGTGAAGGGGGGATATTTTTGGAAGTTCCCTAAATATAGGCAGACATTAAGTTCTCTGTTTTGTGGCTGCTGAGAGGGAACCATCCATCATTGGTTTGAAACATGTTTTATTTTCTGTATATTAGAACTATGTTTATTGGTATACTGCTCCTTACACCAGCAGTTGGAATTTCGTGGATTTTCGGTGTCATCATTGTCTTTTGTGATTGGGAAGTGTTGAAGTACATATATGTTATCTTCAACTCCATGCAAGGATTCTTTATCTGGCTGTCACAGTGCGCCTTCAGTAAAGAGGTGATTTATTTCTTTATTTCATAAACCAAATCCATCAGCAATTGCATGCCTACTACATAATTCCTTAAATTTTGACTATACAAATAAATATAAATAGATTTAAAAAAAAAACACATAAAAAAACACAGCCTAAGCACCTCAATCAATCAATCTTAAAAATTTCCCGTAAATGTATACAAATGTGATAAAATGGTTTTAAATTAACTTTGTTAAAATAGGTCGATAGCAGAATCTTCATGTAACAAGTATTATAAGTAAGAACTAAACGATGAACGCAACCTTTTTTGGGCAATTTTTTACTCTATTAAACTAGAAATTTATATCTTTAACAAGAATAAGATCTACTGATTTAAGGAACATTAGAGCACAATTGACATAAAATTTTGTGGTGTTTTTTTTTTATCAAACAATCAATGTTTCATATTGTATTTTCAGGTACGAGAGGCACTGATAAAGAAGTTCAGCCATCGAATAAGTCAAGATAGTACCACCATGGAGCTTCGTGACAGCACCCAGTAGTGTTATGTCAAGCGCAGCATTTTTGATGACAACACAATGATGGAGATTCCAAGACTCAAGTTTATTATATTGCAGTGTTTACTCATGTAATTTACATAATAAGCAAAATGGATACTTGTTAAATCTAGTGATTGTGTGCAATATGAAGTTTACAATATATTATGTATGTTTATAGCGAAGTACTGTATATATATTTAGCCGTCTAACGTAACACTTATACTGTACTTTAACTTAAACTGATATATTTAGTACCGGTAGCATCTTCTAGGTATCCATCTTACTATACGTCTATCAAATTTTATTAAAAACGAATCTTGGTTTAAAATTGAATTTTGATTATTCGAATGTTTTTCCTACCTTTTGTTAAAAAAAAAACCAAAAAAAAACAGGGCTTTATTGCCAAATGGTGTAAAAGAATTACACGCGTGGGCATTATATTTAGGCCTGATATCTGTTTAGAGTTTTTGAATGGCATTACATTAACACTTATAATACTTATAACTTGTTTTGCTTTAAAACGGTTAAAGGTGTTATCGTTTCCGGAGAAGGTAGGCACAATTTTCCTTAGTTGAGCGTCCATCAAACTTAACAATTGACCAATCAAAACAGGGCAACACGTGTTGTTCCACACGCGCACATGTTTGCGTATGTTTTTACCATAGAGCTATATTCTTATATTAACTCTATAGTTTTTACAGTCGTTTTGTGGGACTTTAGTTTCAATATCTAAGGCTGAGGCTTAGCGAAAACGTCCACTTTTAAATGCCAAAGGTAGTTCAAGAATGACACCGGAGCCTTCATCTAGGCCTATTGTCTGTCTAGAGTTTTAGAAATTCAATTACAGTAATTAAGAATATTTATAACAACACTTTAGATAGTAAGGATGTCATTCACAGTCATACATTTTAATAACATACCTAAATAGTTGCATATATGTCACCATTTTGCATTGTATATTGGTATTGCTAGATATTTTCCTAGCTCATAATAACAAGTCTTTATGCGCTAAGCAAGTGTTTAAAAAAAACCGAAATGACGCATCTACTACCACTACAGTAAGCTTTTGAATGGCGTAAATATGTTGTGACCACTTATTAGAACTAGTTTAAACGATTGGAATACAATAATTGGCTAATGTTAGCTATTATTGCTTTTCAAAGGTATTTACAAGGGAGTAGGCAAAGGGGTGGGTGAAAACTTGTTTGGCATAGTTTGAACGAATGAAATAATTTGGCTAATGGTGTTCTTTTAATATTATTTTTATTACATAATTTTTTTTAACTCTTTTGTTCTCATTTTACTAATCGGAAATCGAAAATTTAGGCTGGGCCCTGTGGAGACATGTGGTAGCCGCAGTACAGTGCCGCCCGACTTAACTAAAACATATTAATGACACACACAGATACAAACATTGTCAGTAACCCGCCTAAATCTCACTTTTAGGGTTTATATTCGAGAAGCCAAGCAACAAAGACACTTATTATAACCCGACACTGGTCGGGTTTAGACCTACTCGGCGTCTTCAACAGAAGCAGCACGAGGAATATTTCTTGGCCAACGCCCTATTCTCATTCTATGTAATTGTTTCGTTTGCATATAATTTTATTTATTATTTTATTATAAACAAGGCTTCAAATATGCTTCAAATGATCTCTTGTATGGTTTTAAGACAATAAAATCCGAACCGGTCAGGCCCAGCGGTAGTCAGGTACTAATATCCACATCATTCATATTCCTTATAATCATTAACTAGTGCAAAATAAGTGATGAATAAAATCAACATGCAATGATATATTCCGATATTTTAAAATAAATATTGTGTGAAAATGTGGTTGATTTGTATGCATTTTATTTCACTTTCAATGCATGAGCCGAACATCAAAAATTTCATATCATTTTGAACTAAAGCCAGGGCGTATCCAGAGATGTTACTGTACATTAGGGAGCGGCTTAGTTAAGTCGGCTAAATTGCTGTTAGCCATTGCGTATGGGCTGAACCGTGGAGATCTCTTGGTCCCCGCTTCAATTACCATCGCTGCTCTTCTTTTATCTCCAGTCATGATGGTTGTAAACACCTGTGTTTCGTTGTTATAATGTATTTCTCTTACCTAAGAATACCAATATTGGCAACCGTTAATCATGTACTTAAGTATATTATGTTATTTGGAACAACAATAACAAAAGTCTTTAAGATAAATTACTTTAGCACATTGTTCATTTTTAAAATTTATAATTTTTGATATTAACTTAAACTGATATGTAGCACACTGTTTTTGTACTTCGATAAAAAGATGTTCCTGAGAAACTGGTAACTCATTTGATATCCTTAGATTTACTGAATATAATGAGCTAAACCCTTGGAATAAAATTAGTATTTTAATTAGTAAACATTAAAGTAAGCTGCGATAAATTGATAAAGATGAGGAAAAGTGTTTAAAAAAAGACATAATTTTAAATATATATGTATATATATAATATAATATAATATAAATCATCATTACAATCATCATTAAACATATACAATGTTTAATAAGGACATGATGGAACATCGTAGGCTACCCTGCTTTTCAACGAATAAAGTCCTATGAAAAATCATTGTGTAATAAAATGCATCCGACGGGATTCGAACCTGCGACTTCTCGCTGACAAGGCGAGCGTCATAACCGTCATATATATATATATATATATATATATATATATATATATATATATACATTAGGCCTATATACAAATGCATTTTTTAACATCATTTCTTCAGCTTTCCCTTTACTATGGACGACCTACGAAAATCATCTTCATTTTAAAAACAAATATCTGTGTCTTGTAACTACTTTTTTTTTAATAAGAAATTTTAATTCATTTACTGGTCCTTAGTATGGGCGCCATCTATGCAGGGGTTGAGCTAGTGAGTGGACCAGCCCGGCCCAATCCTAGGGGATAGCTGGTCTAGGGAGATGCTTGGTCTACCGGTCAGGAAGTTGCATTAAAGTCTGATGGAGAAAATTACTTAGAATCATTTTTTAAACCAGAGACAGTTGACCAAATGCATTTTCAGCCATCTAGAGGTGACAAACCCTATTTTTTTACCTCAACCCCAACCATGGAATTGGAAGACAATTGCATCTAGTATTCTTAACCACCAAACTAACTCCACTTTATCCAACTTGCTGCTATTCAGGTTTTATTATTTCATTGAGGGTTTGCTTGAGTTTTGCCCATCATACACGCCCTACGTATTGTTGGTACTGTATTCAGGCAAAGGGCAGATGTATGCATTCAGTGGGGTGACTGCTATAGTTATTAAATGTGTTTCTTGAGAACCCGTAAATCTGTATTGTTAGCCAAATCTCTATTTCGAGTAAGATGCTCTAGTACAAAAATATAATGATCTAGACGCTCTGATATTCTACTAAACAAATTGAACAAGCCTACTATCTACCACTAATTGACATTTTAAAAAGTTAACATAGCCTGTTACTGAACTCTTGTGGAACTTTATGTATGTCTCCTGCAATTTTTTTTCTATTTATTTTTTATTTATTTATTTATTTTTTTTTTTGTTTTAGCCCAAGGCCAAGGTTATGTCAATCAGCGAGCTTAATCAGGTTAATAAATTGCGCATATCCCTTCACAAGACATACACACGCAATATTCTATGTATAGTCTTATTGTTGTGGCTTAGAGAGTGGCGTTAACTCATCCTGAAGTAAAAACCTGTCACCCTGACATGATTTAAAACTCCACTTTACCAAACTTGCTGCTATTTAGAACCAACATAATATGTCAGTTTATTTAGTAGGCCTATATTCTAGGCCAACTAAATTATTTTCAAACTAAGCGCCACCCCCCAAACATAACACCACACTACCATTGTCGTATAAGGTTGGGTTATAATAGGTGATGAATATAAGAACCAATAAACACGATAATGACACTGCGTTTGCGCCAGATAATTGCTTACATCCAATTGCATTCTACTGAATTATAGTTTTGTTGCATAGGCATACGGGCTCTATAAATGTTTAGCTTATTGCCGATCGCAGTTAAAAATAGAAGACAGTATGATCTAGATATTTTGGATTAGCTCTCCGTAATAATGTATTTCTTTCCTGTCGTGATTTCTTTCGTCTCCTGTTTTACAGCTGTTATTTCTGTTGCAAGCACAGGACAGTACGTTATTGTTCCACAACATTTGTTACTAGGATGGAGTCAGGAGTTTGAAAACATTGATCGCATCCAATGTTTGTTGTCTTGTTCAAGAAAAATATACTGTTTATCGGCGAATTACAATCGGCAAGATAAAATTTGTCAGATAAACAAACGGATGCGGAAGGATTCAACAAGACATTTTCTGGCAAACTCGTCATACTATTACATGGAAAAGGTAAGTAAAATAATAGATCAATTTAGTCATCCACATAATTGTTCAGTCAGGCCCGATCACAATATATTAATAAGCGCCGCAGCAAGCGTGGTTTCTTGTTTCCAAAAAGCGTCGCTTGCTAATTTACTAATATTTTTGAATATATATTTTGAATATATATTTTTATCAAAATTTACTTTGCTCAGTCAAGAATACATTACACAAAGTGCTTTCATTTCAAACTTGAAAAAAAAATTAGACAGTTCACAAAAAACATAACCCTCTCCCTCCGCAAAAAAAAAAAGAAAAAAAGAAATGGGGACAACTTGTATATGTTTTGTATTATGTCCATAGAATTGTATCAAATTGAGGTATCTTAACCATAATAATACATATTTGTTATTGCAGGTTATCAAGGGAGATTTCAAAGAACGTAAGTTACATATTATTTTATAATTATTTATCAACGCTTTTAGAGTATTTAACATTTTAAGTATACTAACTTACAATATATCATAGCTTATTTCTTTATTGTGGCCTTTAGGCCTAATCATGATTTTACGGTTTACATTAGAAAAGGTTGCTTTACATTTATCCAGATATCAATTTCGTGCTTTTGTACTTTTTGCTGGCTATAACGTAGCTAGTTAAGATTAGCTGCTTAGGAATCTTTTACGGTGGAATAAGTATTTTGAAAGAAATACTTTTTAAAAAAATGAGGAAAAAAATAATTCAAATTTATTTTTGTATTATTATTTTATTTTATTTCATCCACGCCCTTCAGTGACCAAAGTCACAATTTACAGGGTTGAACAACAAATACGCTCAAAAAATGTAATACAGTTTGCAACCACAACCACAAAAGCTAAATTTTAAAAACATTTAACAAAACTTTACGACAAAAACATG